AAAATAACATTTGTCGAGCAATGGCTTCCGTTGTTACGAATCCCAACAAATTAAAACTTGTTGAGCTAAACCGAACGAAATATTCTGACAACAGGAAGCTAGTAAACAGTGTCCGAAAAATTTTCAAGTTTTGTCAACACAATGGCCAGGCTTGCATAAAGGAACCCGCTTTGACCCTTGCTGCATCAATCGGCTGAGGTTCTAGCTTGAGCTCGAAACAAAAAAATTAGAAAGCGTCGACATTTTGGAATAATAATGGCTCGCTTGATGCTGTTACTTTTGCTGATCGCCCCATTGACTCTTACCACTTACGCGGACAGCGGGCAAAAGGTAATTAAGTTAAAAATATATATTGCGTTTAGTTTTCGCCGAGACACTTTAAAGTGACCTTTCGGCCCTTTCTGTCTTATTGAACGCCATGGCGTTTACTTTCCTACTAAATATTTTATCCTGCGGCCTGTTCGGGCTGCACTATCGATGCTTAATGAACGCGTTTTTGTCAGCCGAGCAAATCTAATTATTATGCCTTTAAAGGGTGATGTGAAAAGTAGGGTATCCGTTTACACTATAGCGAAAGTAATGACTCTGAAGTATTGGTGGTAATATAAACTAGACGCAGTTAATCGATAAACCGATAATCGATAGTAATTGATAGTAATCGATATCAATCATCGATAAATATTGATTTCCGATATCGATCGATAGAAATCGGTAAAGAAAAAAGTTGTGACTTCGATTTATATTTATGATTTTCCGATGGAAATCGATAATTATTTTTATCGATTGTTATCGATTTTGTTAATCGATAATAATCAATAAATTATTTTTCTCTGTGACTACGATTTCTATCGATTTCCGATATCAATTGATATTGATCGGGTGATTAAATCGATTAATATCGATGATATCGATTGATTTCCGATATCGATTTTTATCGATTAACTACGTCTGGTGTAAATACTACTGACGAAGATACTCATTTTAATCAATTTGCTACACATGTGTTTTTCGCAGACCTATACATTCAAGGTATCCAAAGATATGTACGAGAGTATCAAAGTTGATGCCAACAAGGAATCCGAGACCTTTTCTCAGAGTTTTGCGTCGTCAGGCAAAAAGGAAGGAGACTTTGTCTACGACTTTAACAGGGTCAGTAACTAACATAAAAGATCAAACAAGTCAAACTCATCTAAATTTGGAGTCTTTTTTTTTGTTTTGACAAAGAACTGAACTCATTTTTTTATGCGATTTAAATATTTCGTTTCTCCGAATTTTTGGCTTAAAAACTTGAAATTAAAAAAGAGAATAAAAGGTTAAAAATCCGAAATTATCAGTGCACAGTTTTGCGAAAACGTCTCTGAAATGGCCACAAAACAGTATTTTTATTTCTTTATTTTTTGTTTTTTTCTGACGAGAACATTAAGCTGTTTTAGATAGTCCCGCATTTTTGCATCAAAATGTCGGTGCAGAAACCATTCCAGCACATTTCTCCAAAACTTTTCAAACCGCTCAGTGTACGACCAAAACTATAAGGAGGGCTTAAAAGCAAGAGAATGATATGTACATTTTCCAAGGCTGAAGGCCAAGTTCGCGTTGATAAATTTTTGATTTACTTCAAACAATAAACTTGTAACTACATGTATTGGATGTAAACCACTTGGAGTTGAGCCTGCCGTCAGCTGAAAGGTAGTAACTTATTAGCGGATAACTTAAAAAAATTACAAATTACAAATAATTTACAAATAATTACTTATTTGTCTATTGATCCTTGCTTCGTATTGGCTTGAATTTACTGCAGAACTTAACGATGATTCGATTGCCAAAGGCAAAGGGCTGCTTTTTAAGATACTCCATCGGGAACGTTCCTCGACCTGCTGACTTGCTGAAACAATTACAATCGGTAAGTGTCTGAGGACCTATGACAAACATGGTTAAAATTAGTGTTTGGCTGAATTAATCTCTTAATGAAGGATTTTTTAACTAACCTGTAGGTTGCGTCCTCAATGCATGAGAATACCAAGAGCAACATCATAACTGTGCGTTTATTCCCTTCAACTTCGGAATAATCTCGGTACATATAAGCGTTATCAACCTCGACCTTCGGCTCGGCTGATAACATTTTTCTTGACCTTGAGTATTCTGGGTATCACCACGTTCAAAAATTGTTTATAATCACTTTTACCAACAACATTGGAGAGATTCGCTAAAGTTATTTATTTATTCCTTTGTTAAAACTTGCTGATCCGTGCAACCTTTTGATAACTGTTCCACTCGAAATCGTTTATTTTTTCACGCTGGTTTCCATCATCTACAGGTGCAGAAAAGTACCGATTCTAAAATGACCACTACGTCTGAGGAAAATTTCAAGGTTGTTGGCAAACTGAGAGACCGTTCGGACTTGAGCGACGAGATGAAGGATCTATGCGCAAAGTTGCCAATTTACCGAATCCGGAAGTTGGAAAAGAAACAGAATGACGACGCTTATCAAATGGAAGACGATGTGGAACAGTCCGATGAAGTAGATGATGCACCAGAGAGGGTGGCTAGAGGTAATAAAATGATTAAATGGATATCAAGTTCTTGAAGAAGCTATAACAACTTAACAGATCGCTGTCAACAGCATGAAAAGTTTGGATGGCCTTACAATACTATAAGAACGAACCATGTGGCATCTTCACTTTCTTTAAAGAACCCTATGCTGAAAGCTATTTTAATTTAAAACAGATTCAACAAAATCAGAAACATGAATAACTTTTCCATAGTTTTAAGCCAACTTTTGTGTTTTCAATCTTAAACCATGGCCCGTCCACACCTATTGATCCGAGCAGGGGAAAACGCATACTAATATTTCCGTTTATTTAGTTTGGTTGTTCCCGGTTTGGATTCACCCATCGACAAGAATACGCTGCTTCAATCAACATTTGCTAACTAGTTTCCACTCTTCTTCAATCAATGGCCAGGCCTGCCTAATATGTTTAAAATTAAATTACCCGGAAAGGGTTTATCGGGCAGCTATGAATGGATAATTCGTTTACCCAACCATTTACAGGCGAAAAATAGTAACCTTGATCAGCTTCACAGTTCTGCCTTTGTGTTGTCCTACTAGGCACTTGTAAGCTTAGGACGAACCTAAAACCGTCTTGCACGAGGCCGATGAGTCGAACAACAGGTTGTTGTTGTCCACCACCCGAGTTTAAATTTGCAAGTTCTCTTTTTAGCCTAAACTCCAGTTTTGGACGTAGTTGAATTTAAAAATATCCAGTTTCAATCGTCTAGTACGAATCGTATTTTAAAAAGAGAACGAGTCAGCGACTTCTAAAAGATGCCGTTTCGGCGAGGGGGATTCACTAGTTTCACAGAGCCTATTCGTGTAAAAAAAATCCTTTTTTAAAAAATATCCGGAATCATGTTGACGGGCCTTAAACAACTTCTTAAAAAGTGTTTAAAATTTTGTGGAAGACAAAGCGTCTTATCAACTCTGTGTATCAGGGTATGACCCTGGTAGTGGTTGTCCTTTATCTATTAGCCACACACTGTACAAGAATTATCCACGCATCTCACAATATTTTAATTAATGGACACGTCTGTCTTTATAACGACTGACTACCCTAATTCGAAGCTGCTCATCAGTTTCGGATTTGAATAACCTGTAATAGTTATAACCTTTTGTGCCCATAGGTCTCGTCCGGAAATGGGTGTGCAGACGAGTTTGTAAACACATACGCACATGCGTCAAAGTCCCAAGAATTAGCTGCAGTTGGAGAGGCTGTAAAACTTCCTGGCGCTGGAACTGCTGGATCATAAAGACCATATGCCCCTATACCTGCTACTGGGCTTTGATCAAGCTTGGCTAAAGATGTTTTCACACGATCATCTAAACAAGTGGCCGCGTAAAGTAAAGCGTTAACACATAAAGTTTTCATGAGATATATTTACACCCTGTGGACGGTCTGTATAATTTATTTGCATACTAGGCAAATTGTCAAGAAGATCTTCTGACGGTGCTCGAACTCAGTTTTCGTCAGGATGACTTTGGTGTAGACTGAGGACTCGCAGGTTTTAAATAATATCACTATAATGTAAGAGGGATTTTGAATTAAAAATAAAGGTAAATGCCACTTTTTTCATGCATATACGCCTCCGTTTGTTGTTTCTTAAGACGTGGTGAAGAGGGGCGTGTCAAAGGGTATTGCCATGCTCCGCTTTCATTGATCTGAAACTGGATAATGTATAATCATTTTTTTTCTTGTCGTATTATATTTGTGGAGACCTTTCGATTCGAGGACGGAGAAAAGTACGATCACGAGATTAGAATGAAGGTTTTTAAGCGTATTCTCAACAAATAGACATCCCGGAAACCTTCATTGTTCTTTTAATTCACCAGAAGAGTCAGCACTGTTATCTTAATTGAAGGAGGTTAAGCCTCCAGTCCCGATCGCAAAGAGATAAACTTCTAACATTTGATAACTTGTTTCCGCCACTACGACATTCTCGCTGAAACTCGTAATAGAATGCTGACGGCTATCACATTTACCGGCCAAAATGACGCCGGTTCACGAGCTTCAAATACTTTGTTTTGGGAAAAACTCGTACTCTTAGTCGTCCTCGTCCCAAAATCTATTAGGGTCTCTAGTATAGCCGCAGGACAGACCTATTGTGATTTCGTCGCTCTCGCGCGGTCACCGCTTCCCTAGCTTTACAGCCATGTCGAATTCAGTTTCCTAATACAATTAATTTTGATTTCATCACGCTCCTCCGTTTTAGAAGGATGGGGTAAGAGCATGTTGCACATTAGAATTTATGCAACTTCTTCTTCAAAGAAAATCTATTGTATTGTCTACCTGACAGCTCGGCCGGAGGAAAGGGATGGAAAAAGAAAACTTTCAACAAAGTGTACAGCTAGTCCATTCTCGATAACTCGAATCCTCTCTAATTCAAGCCACGCGCTAATTCGAACCATGTAAAATTGATGTCCTTTTCTGAATTTCTAGCCTCCTACGCAGACGTTCTTCCAGGAATACTGTCAATTGAGGCGTAAACAAACTGACGTCTTGTATTTACAAAAAGATACTTTTTCTTATTTTTATCCAACTGATTTGGTAAATTCTAAAACCACTATCCCCCTCAGGGTCGGTTTATAGCGCTAGATATATACCTCGACGCTTTGCGTTTCGGTCATTACCACTATTCACCTCCACTTCGGGGTATAGTTGTATTATTATTTTATAAGGGAAAAAGTAATAGTATTTCATACAAACTTGAAAAAAAGTAACCATAAACAAAAAATAAAAATAAAACTATTTTTCGCCTCTTTACAACATCGCGCAGTCATTAGCCTTCCTGTCACACCATTGTGTCACGCAAAGTCACACTTTGGCACGAAAGAAGCGTTTAAGACGTTCAGCGGATTTTCAAATGAAAATCAAACCCCTTGTGTAAGCTGGACATATACTGAATAATTTCCAAAATGGCGGCAAATGCTTACTTTGACGAGGAAGGTTATGAACATCTGTTCGTCGGTATTTCACGCTGTCACCGGCCTAGGATCGGCATGGATATATAACCGATTTTTGTTGTTTTTCGTTTTCACTGAATACCGTGAAAAAAGGCTTTTAAGCCCAATGTTTTGATTTCAAATAATTTACAGGATCTGATCATTCGAATCAATTCTTTGGACCTCAAACACGAGAAACATGGGAGTAGTCATTCGCTGTTTTGCTGCAGCGCACCTTGTACTGCTGTAGCAACATTTAAAGGAGCATATGGCGGATTTTTGCGAAAAAAAGAACAAATTCCAATGGCGTTAGGAACTCGCTATGCGATGTGTATTTGGAAAAACTCCTGTTCAAAGAGAAACACATTATATATACACCCATCTTAAAAACTGGATCTTTGGACTTGAGAACAAAGAAATTGTTTAGAAGGAAGAGGACGACTTCTAACGCGGTAAGGGAAATTTCCATAATTTTGTTTGTAATTTTTCTGTACGGCAATTGACCACTACAGAAAATACCATAACATACCATAATGCTATTTGTTTGTCAGCCCAAAATTTTGCATAAGCATTGTCTTCAGTTTCTCTTGGGAGTTAAAATGGTCCCAAGAGAATCTGAAGACAATGCTTATGCAAATTTTGGGGTGACAGACAAAGAGCATTATTGTATGCTATCATATTTTCTATAGTGGTCAATTTTAAATCTAAGTCAAATAGTGACGCAATTCGCATGCGCGACGGCCATGTGGTATGAGATAATGAAATTGTTCGCCATGTGTCATGTATCACAGTACACGTTCGAGGATATAGGACGTCCATCTGAAATAGTGTGTGAAATTCTGATTCAGATCTTAATAGGGTAAGGGGTATAGAAGGGGGGGGGGGTTACCAGCAGACCTGGGTCTTATGTCTGGAAAGTCCTGGTAATTTTTTGGGTCTGAAGCCAAATATTAAAGTCAAAATGTAAATAATAAAAGCAAAGGTCTAACCTACCGGGTAATATACCATTCCATTTTGTGTAGTTAAGGGGACAGGTTCACGGTTAAGCGCATGCTTATTAAGTTAATTACTTTTTATTAATTCTATTGGTTAATAATCCCACTCACATATATCTTAGCAATCTCAGCGAGTTCAAAGTAGAAGTGTATTTCAGAGTAACCTAAAGTAGGATGGTGGAGTACTAAAATCACAGAAAAAACTCGAAATAATTGGTAGTGTTGGCATAATCCACAAATTTTTTGTTGACCTGAACGTTTTATTCCATAATTGATTAATTTACAGCTATTTGCACATAAGTTGATCAACTGACTGCCAGGAAAGTGTGCAGATTGGTTCTTGGTTCTTTGACAATGTAATGACATGATCATATTGCTTGTATAGACGATACAACATGTCCCGGCAGAAAAACAGCATTTTGATAAATGAGCATGTGCTGAACCGTGAACCTGTCCCTTTTACCTACTGATAGGTTTATAATATAATCTGCAAAACTAATTACAGCTTTCAGGGCCAGGGTAAATTACTGAAACTTTGGAGAAACGGGCCTTTGTTTCGGGTTCTATAGTGTAGTTTTAGATGCCTGCTCTTGTACTTCGTATTTTAAATATTGCTGCCCAGAAATGAATTTGCACTGCACTTGTTTTTGGTTTATGTCACAACAAAATGCAGTTGACATCTTCATTTGTTTATTTTAATTTTAACACAATATAGTCTCTGCAAAAAAAGTTAATCGTTGGATATGGAATTTTGTCTAAGCTCCAGAAGTTCCTGAATTCCATGTCGCTAGTTAATCCAAATGCTTTTTATTCAAAACACCATAAAACGACGGAACAGATATGTGCCACTTGCACATTTCCCATAATGTAGGTCATTTGCCCCCCAAAATTTTGCATAACCTTTGTTTTTATTTCCCCTGGGCATTGCAGCTGTTCCAAGAGAAATTGAAACAATGCTTATACAAAATTTTGGGGGGCAAATCATGTGCATTATGGGAGATGTGCAAGTTGCGTACACTGTCTCCTAACCACATTATAATTTTTTTGATTCTTCTTCTAAGAAAATTTATTGCATTGTTAACATGGCTGCTCAGCCAGGGCAATGGAAGGGAAGGAGAAAATACCTTTCAACAAAGTGTACAGTCAACTCCCGGTAACTTAAACCCCCTCTAACTGGAACCTCGCGCTAACTAGAACCATACAAAAACTGATTTCCTTCTGTCATGATTTCCAACATACATTTATTTCAAATTAATTTAAATACTCTTGGTAAATCAGACCCTCAATAACTTAAAATTTCCTGGTTTTATTGAAACGGTAACCTTACGCTGCCCGATGACTCTGTACACATGCAGCAGAAACAAGTAGCCTGCGAATGCTGCCTCTGATTGCTCTCTCAGTGCCGCTGTGGTTAGCAAAGGCAGAAGACTGTTTTCGTACAAAGCTAGTACATCAGAAAACAATTTTTGAATCAAAACTTTCTCTGGTCTTTTTCACCATAATACTATAAAAGCTAGGGCGTAATCTATTCTCCAAACAGACTTAAATAAGTTCTTTTTGACACTAACATCTTCCAACTCAGCACTCACTCAGATTGAAACTCCCAGTATTTAAAGGAGCAGTGTCAAGAAACCGCCACCAAAGTGAATTAAACATAAAAATAACTGTTCAGGACGTTAAAAGAAACTAAAAAATAACACAGAAGCAAAGGGAAGCAAAGATAGAAAAACATGAAGAAGATTGGAAACTTGTGGTTCTTGAAAACTTGTCAACCAAAGAGTTTTTCAAAGCTCATTTGTGCTGTTTGCAACGCTTGAAGTAATGGATCAATTTAGGTTTTTGAGAAACTGCCCACCTACTCCTCCCCTAAGCCAACATTTTGCCCTAAACAAGAAGTAAGTGTGAATCCATGGGGGAACTTGTTGTGCATATATTTTTGAGTTTAGTATAAATTGGCCCGTTTTCATGCTGTTCATTCCTCTCTTCATTAAACCAGACACCAGAAACCTGGTTTATCGCCCCACCCACCTTCCCGCAACGATGGCACACTCTGGCACCTTAGCTCCCACTCCTTCCCGCCTCTGGGTTCGCCTGTTCCCATAACTCATCTCAACCTTGGGGAGTTTGGGAGTGGGGGCTCCCAGTGAGAATTTATTGCGATCTTCATAAGGAACCTTAAGGAATTGCCAGGGAACTTTAAAGGATCTTTTTAAAAGTCTTTGACATGATCCTTCAAGGATCCTCAAAGAAATTGTGGGAATCGTACAAGGTTCTTTCAAAGGTCGTTATCTGGATCTCCTTATAAGGAACCTCCAAGTCCTACAAAGATCTTTCAAGGATGTTTTATAAAAGTGATTTCTACCCG